ATGACATTATTTACTGTCTTTACATTTAGTTTGAAAGATGAAGCTCGCGATTATGGTAAGGGGCGTTACATTTCTGACAAGTGCTTGCGGAGTTTGGCCAATCACAATGCACTGGGTCAGCTGGCCAATCAGAGCAGACTGCGCTTGTTGGAAGGAGGGACTTTGTAGAAAACGAAGCGTTTGAGAGAGGCGGGGCATAGAGGACCTACAATAATGTACAGTATTTGAAAAATAATGTGTTTTTTGAACATTAAAGCATGTCAACATATTCTGTTACACCAAATAATGATCTTTAAAAAAAAGCATCATATGACACCTTTAATATTTTTCTTCAGGGAATCACACGTAGCACAAGGAGGGGACATAAACAATTCCGGACAAAGAAACTCAGAACGGGACTCACTATAAATACACAGACACCAATGGGACACACCTGAGAGCAAATTAACCAATTAAACAAACACAGCTGGAACCAAATTCATACAACGAGGACAGGAACAAGAAGGACCAAATAAGGAAAACAGGAACATACACGTGACAGATCGCCAGTACCATCAGGAAGGGGGGGCGGGCGCAGGACTGGTGCAGGACTGGAACAGGGCAGAGACAAGGAGAGCCTCCAAGAGCAAATTAACCAATTAAACAAACACAGCTGGAACCAAATTCATACAACGAGGACAGGAACAAGAAGGACCAAATAAGGAAAACAGGAACATACACGTGACAGATCGCCAGTACCATCAGGAAGGGGGGGCGGGCGCAGGACTGGTGCAGGACTGGAACAGGGCAGAGACAAGGAGAGCCTCCAGGGCAGATCGGGGGACTCAGGAGGCCATGGCGGATCCTCCGTGGCCTTAGCTGGCTCGGCCACGGGTATATGGCCCCTGGAGGAGGGGGCACTAGATGGCACTCTAGAAAGCGCTTATGAGGAGCGGGCACTGGAGCGAGCTCTGGGGCTGGAGCCGACACTGGAGCGAGCTCTGGAGCCCTCCCTGGGCTTGACGGGGGATCAGGAGCCCTCCCTAGGCTTGACGGGGGATCAGGAGCCCTCCCTGGGCTTGACGGGGGATCAGGAGCCCTCCCTGGGCTTGACGGGGGATCAGGAGCCCTCCCTGGGCTTGACGGGGGATCAGGAGCCCTCCCTGGGCTTGACGGGGGATCAGGAGCCCTCCCTGGGCTATACTCGGGAACAGGAGCCCTCCCTGGGCTGAACTGGGGATCAGGAGCCCTTCCTGGGCTTAACGGGGACACAGGAGCCCTCCCTGGGCTGAACTGGGGAAACAGGAGCCCTCCCTGGGCTGAACTGGGGAAACAGGAGCCCTTCCTGGGTTGAACTGTGGATCAGGAGCCCTTCCTGGGTTGAACTCGGGGTCAGGAGCCCTCCGTGGGCTATACTCGGGAACAGGAGCCCTTCCTGGGCTGAACTGAGGATCAGGAGCCCTTCCTGGGCTTAACTCGGGATCAGGGTAGCACCTACGTGGTGCTGGCACTGGAGGGTGCTCTGGAGGAGCAGGCACAGCAAAGCGCTTTTGAGGAGCTGGCACTGGAGTGAGTTTTGGGACTGGAGCAGACACTGGAGTGAGTTTTGGGACTAGAGCAGACACCGGAGCGAGCCCCGGGGCTGGAGCAGACACCGGAGCGAGCCCCGGGGCTGGAGCCGACACCGGAGCGAGCCCCGGGGCTGGAGCCGACACCGGAGCGAGCCCCGGGGCTGGAGCCGACACCGGAGCGAGCCCCGGGGCTGGAGCCGACACCGGAGCGAGCCCCGGGGCTGGAGCCGACACCGGAGCGAGCCCCGGGGCTGGAGCCGACACCGGAGCGAGCCCCGGGGCTGGAGCCGACACCGGAGCGAGCCCCGGGGCTGGAGCCGACACCGGAGCGAGCCCCGGGGCTGGAGCCGACACCGGAGCGAGCCCCGGGGCTGGAGCCGACACCGGAGCGAGCCCCGGGGCTGGAGCCGACACCGGAGCGAGCTCCGGGGCTGGAGCCGACACCGGAGCGAGCTCTGGAAGGCGCTTACTTGGGGCCTGATTAACGCATGACAGGCTTGCCATATTAATGATCGTTGGGCTTGCCATATTAACGGCCGGTGAACTAGAGCAGGCCGCGGACGGCGGGTTGGTTCTGGCTCGGAGCTGGACGCTCTCCAGACACCAGAGGATTCCTTCCCTCCAGCTCAGTCCTGTGGTGTCTGGGAGGTCCACGGGGCGATGGTAGTTGGCCCCGAGCCAGAATAGAGCATGGTGGCATCATCAAGGGCCGTAGCCACGGCGAGCCTGCAAAACTCACAGGAATACTCGACATATGGGAGATCTAGGCGAATTAAGGCGGAGAACCGAGCGGCAATTTCTATAGCAAAAACAAAAAAACTTCTCAAAAAGGTGGAAAAAACTAACGCAAGGAAAAGTCGCCGCTCACTTTTTGTTTAGACTGGAATTCTGTCACGGGTTGCTACTGTGAGGAGCATGGAGCGAGGAACGAGGAGAACAGGAGTCCAAAACAAAGGAGTTTAATATTCTTCTTCTTCTTCATGGAATCACACGTAGCACAAGGAGGAGACATAAACAATTCCGGACAAAGAAACTCAGAACGGGACTCACTATAAATACACAGACACCATTGGGACACACCTGGGAGCAAATTAACTAATTAAACAAACACAGCTGGAACCAAATTCATACAACGAGGACAGGAACAGGAAGGACCAAAACAGGAACTAAACGGGAACATACAAGTGACAGTAAGTTAGTGAAGGTAAATGTACACTTTTCTAACATCTTTGTAACAGGCTGGTAAGTTAATTTACGTTTTTACAAATATTACTCTATACATGCATTTTTTTTAAAATCACTAATTTACCTTAATAATAGTAAAATAAATTATTAACATTAACCAAAAGAAATAAAAGAAGTAAAATATTGTTTATCATGTTAGTTGTTCTTGACAGCTAATGCATTTACTGAACTAATATTAATGAGTGAAACCTTTGTAACATGCTACAGTAAGTTTTTAAGTGTGTATCATCCAAGTTGTATTTTAAAATTTTTAATTAAAATTAAGGCCACCAGCTCAACAATAAGGACTGCCCAATTGCCCGGGGATAGTGTGAAAGAGCTCAGCACAGTTGATTGATTTGTCACGAAAGTTTATCATTTGCAGGTGTTTTAAGCCTTGCCAATTTGTGCATATTTTATATGACAGACCTATACGTTTGGATTGTTGTTAATGGCATTTATTACTGCAAAATTGAAGTTTGACAATTTGCACTTTGTGATTATGAAGACTGAGTGAATGTAGGCTGTAGTTCTAGTGGATGAAGGGCCCCTCAAGAGATAATGCCCAGGGTCCCCTTACAGTCTTAATGCGGCCTTCACTATAGGGTAAGTTTAGGGTTGGGTTTGAGTATTTCCAACATGATAGAACATTAACTTTTGGGAACACTCACCGGATATTTGAATTCTGAACTGCTGCAATATGTACCTGAAGCAACGCCGCAATACGTGCCTGTACCAGCATAATAAAAACATCTCACAGTTATGTACTGAACACGCCACTCACTGGACATTTCACTTTGAAACCGCTGTGAAACGTGCAGTAAGGTATGTAATACAGGTGTTGCAGAAATGTCACCTCAAGCACGTATTTCCAATGAGCTTGGGCTGCAAATGTGAAAGATCCAGAGTCTCCAGCTAAATAGAAGAATCTGAGCACATTGTGTGATGTTGTTGAGATCTCTTTTAAAGCTTTAGAGGAGACCAATGTGAGACCACTGGAGTCTTTAGGAGAAATGTCTGAGCACAGTGTGTGATGATGATGATGATGAGATATCTGCTAAAACTTTAAAGGAGACCATTTTTAAAGTGTTAAAAAATTTTTTTTACTAAAGTCTCCATTTGATGTTAATTTCTGTCTAGTACAAACAATTCAGATGTCAAAGAGATTCAAAGACTCACTTTTTCTTTTCTCTGAGTAGTTTTAATCTCATTCATCCACAGCATTTCAATCAAACACAATACTTGCATAGTCATATTTTAAATTGTTTAATGTAGACAATGTTTTGATGCACAATGCAGAGGAAATCATTACCTTTATTTACATGCATGCAAAATGGGCTGTACAAGACAAACAAAGAAAGGGGAAAAAATCATGCAACAACCATGAAGCACTGGTACACTAGTGTCACATTTATTTAAAAAAAAAAAAAATATATATATATATATATATATATATTAATTTTATAATCCCATAGTGTGTCTGGAAAATGTGCTGCATATACAATGCTAGGCATTGAAGATAAACTTAATCTATAACCCTTGATTTCCTGAAATGTATAATGCTATTTAAATGCAACCTCTGTCAGGATGACAAATGCACCTCAGACAGGATGAGTTCAAGTCCCAGCTAAACTTTCTCATACTTTCCTCATCTCCCATTGATTCCTCTACAGTGTCCTGACCATAAAAAGAGAAAAATCCCCAATGTAATCAGAAAAGAAAGAGCAACCTCTGAGCAATAAAACATTTTATGACAGTGTCTTGAAAGAGATTACAACAAGACAATAAAGAGATCTCCTAAGTTATTTTAGAAGAAATATCTGTAATGCTAGACCATTTTTGCCTGTAAGACTTTCTTCTAGACCAGTTCCCTGATTTCCTCCTCCTCGGCTCCTCCCTGCCTTTCTCTAAGGCCTACCTGCCTTGTGTCCCTGGTTCATCCGCTCAACTTGTTGTGGACTGTGTTTCTTATATTCTATATCCATATTGTTTTAATCTATATTAATGTAAACCTATATTTCATAAAGCACCATATAAATAAATGTGACTTGGCTATTCTAACAGTCACGAGTCACAACATGTATTTGAATCTGAGAAAGGCAATGGAGAGATCTCACCTGTGTGTCTCACCTCTTATTTCACTAATGTCAATGAAATAGAAACTGCAAAACAATATTTAAAAAAAAGAATACAAACACTGCATTATCTTATGTTATGTGCATCTAGATGAATGAGTTGGAGAGAGCGGTTTCGGCAACACACACGTATCTACAGAGAAACCCTGAGGACCCCCTTCTATCTAGGAGTCTTAACTACTATAAAAGCCTGTTTGACACAGAGGAGTACCTCGTAGACCATGAGGAGAAGCCCTGTGAGGTATTTATTCTCTCTAATCGTGTTTTTCTTTGTAACCTTACTTGTGAGAGGCACTGCTCTAAAATAAGTAAATATGGATTCATATTGTTCTGTCTCTTAGGCATTATTCATGAAGGCTGTAAAGCTGTATAATTCGGGGGATTTTAGCAGCAGTGCTCGAGACATGGAGCTGGCGGTTGCTGAGTATTTTAAAACATTCAACACGTGTTTGATGTCCTGTGAGGGGTCATACGATGTGCAAAATCGCTAAAATAAGCTTGATTCAAAAGCGAATGGCTTGGTATTCATGAGAAGTTCATCAATAATCTGACATAGAAAGTCTGGTACTATCATAGGTTGAGTTATAATATATATACCTGTATATATATGTCCTCTCTCTTTTTTTCTCCCCCAGATTTCTATTTTGAAGTAATGAAGTGTAAAGTAAAATGTGAGGAAAATTTGGTACCAAATGTTGGTGGTTTCTTTGTGGAGAAATTTGTTGCCACCATGTACCACTACATGCAGTTTGCTTATTACAAATGTAAGTAACATAGACACAAACACACACACACATGATGTGCAGGAGTTTAAAGACTTCTACCCCACCTTAGCCGGTCAGTGATATCATGATGCATTCTCAGATTTGCTTCAAATAGCTATGAATATTAGAAAGCCATCCTAACTAAAATAAGCTTGATTCAAAAGCGAATGGCTTGGTATTCATGAGAAGTTCATCAATAATCTGACATAGAAAGTCTGGTACTATCATAGGTTGAGTTATAATATATATACCTGTATATATATGTCCTCTCTCTTTTTTTCTCCCCCAGATTTCTATTTTGAAGTAATGAAGTGTAAAGTAAAATGTGAGGAAAATTTGGTACCAAATGTTGGTGGTTTCTTTGTGGAGAAATTTGTTGCCACCATGTACCACTACATGCAGTTTGCTTATTACAAATGTAAGTAACATAGACACAAACACACACACACATTGTTAATTGTCTTCCGTCAGCAGTAGACACAAGGAATACTACAATCTACCCATATTTCATAGTAAATTTCGGTAAAATGGGGAATGCTGTATTGTAAAACAATTTTATTGTAGGTGACATGCAAGTCTCTCAGTATCTCACATGAACACTTTCCAGTACTTGTAAACATCTACAGTTATTGGCATAATACACTGTAGATGCAGAACTGTGCATCATTCAAAACTGATAGGACATGAAATAAGGTACTATGATTGTTTTGCTGTTTATTATGCTGATATAATAACATGTTCACAAGATATTTACAGTGTAATAGACTTGTTGCACTTGACCACTTCATGCATTTTCACTGATCAAATAGCAATCCGATCACAATCCAATCACCAAAGCATTTCAGGAGGTGATTTGAGATCCATTTCAGATGCGACTCGGCCACATGTGAATTTGGTGTAAAAGTGACATATACATGTATAAATTTTACTCCTCCCAAAATGGTAAAAATAAAGGTGTGAGAGTGTTGTAACTACACCTGGTAGCTACGTAACACAGTGTTATTGCAGAGATGAGTGTCTCTTTTCAGTAAGCAGACACAATGCAAATTAAGTTAATTGAAGTTAAGATTTGTGTTAGGATTTGCATCCTGAAGTATGACACCCATTCATTTTCATTAAAAGGAATAAGGACTATTTGGTAACACTTTCTATGAAGCCCATTTTTATAACACATTATAAGGGTATTCTTAAGGTATTATAATGAATGCATAATACATTATTAAAAAAAACTTATAATATGTTGTTTCATCTCATAAATAATCATAAAAGCAATTATAATGAATTATACAATTTACTTATAGCTTTTATGAGTATGATTATTTATAACACGCAATAAACACCATGTTAAATCCACTTAATTTATAATGGATTATAAGCCTCATATCTTGACATTATTTATTTAAGATCTGTACAGTATCTTACTATCTTACTGATATTACAATAAATATAGTTAAAATCAAATGTGCCATATTACACATTCATCTGATCAGATATCTGATCTTATGGCTTTTTATTTTAAGAAAAAAATATATTATTTTTATTATTATTTTTGTTGTCATTGTTGTTGTTATTATTTATAAGTAGTCTTTGTCTGCTTTAAGTAAAGTAACAAGTTAACAATGGCAAGATAGGAGACTTTTAATACATTATAACCAGGGTTTGAAATTAACTTTTTCACTCACCAGCCCATTTGGCTTCTACATTTCTACTAGCCAAAAAAATTTAACAAATAAATAATGAAAAAAAAAAAAGGCCAGAGGTAAACCAACAGCTTAAGGCTGTCCACACTGGATGCGACAAAGGGACCATTGCAAATCATTTGTACTTTGTCAAACAGTAGGCCTTACGTCATAAATAGAACGAGGCATCAGTTTACTGTCGGGGATTTGTCGTGCTGTGCCGTGCGCCACATCCAGTGTAGGCCGCATCATCAATTATAATGGGTTCTATAGTATTTTGTCGCATCTGTGGTAGACACGATGCGAGTCTTCAGGCATTTTTTGACTTTTCGTTATTGCTTCAATGCAAAGGAAACCAGTGTGGTTTCGCCACGCCATTATTTGTTGCGTAGTGACGGGTACAGGGCTGGACTGGGGTTAAAATTCGTCCCTGGACAAATCCAGCCTATCCGGCCCTCAAGTTCCCCTGTGAATGTTTTGCTGTGTTATAGGGCCTTCAATTGGAGTAAGTAAATAAATAAATAAATGAGGACAAAAACAAATAATGATATATTACTGAATTCACAGCAAATGCAACAAACTAATAGCCTACTGCATTTTTGTCACATAGAAATGCACTTGACATTATAAGCATTGATTTGGTGCTAGAACATAGGAAATTTACTGCTAATTAATGCTGTCATCCTTTCCTCACCCTCATGTCTTTCCAAACCTGTATGACTTACTTTCTTCTGTAAAACACAAAAGATATTTTATAGAATGTTACCAAACCATTTTGGTTACTCTTTCTACTGTATGGACAAACATTTCTTGAATTTCTCAAAACATCTTCTTCTATGTTCCACAGAAGAAAGAAGTTAATACAGGGTTGGGATTACATGATGCTGAGTAGCCTAAATGATGACCGTTTTAATTTTTGGGTGAACTATCCCTTTAAGAACTTTATAATATTTGTAAATGGAAAACACCTCATTTATAAGTGTCTCTAAATTACAGAGACACTGGTTTTTATCTTTAATCAGGCTCTTACTGAATTAAAATTGTACTTAAATTAAAATGAATTAGAATGAAACATTTATAGAGAAATAAGCTATTAAAGTTTGTTTACATGCATTTGACCTTGTCGTGGCTGTTTTCAGGCAGAACCTTTAATGTTGTCATATCACACAACTGTATAACACAATTCTGTGTCATTTCTGAATGGATCGAGCGATTTGCGCTGTTTATCTCTTATAAATCGTGGCGGAAGCGCAGCGCTGTGCGGGAGACTGATCCCGCTCTGCTTTAACGCGCGGCTGGCGGATGCACCGGGTAGCACCGCTTCACACTTTTGGAGTACTTGCTTTTTGCAGTTTCGCGTGGGCTGTAATTTAAAAACAGCGCCTAATATGAGGTCTCCCTCGCTTCGGCGATCGACCCACCGGGAATGTCCCGGTGCTCCCGATGGCTAGTAGCTACATCGCTGGGTATGTTCAAGTAAGCTAGATGCCCAGATGCTGCGCAATTAGGCTTATTTAATGTATCATGATGAGTCTCGAGTTCAGTATTTACTCTAAATCTGCGCAGATTTGGCTTACATGAACTTCCTCAAGAAATTAATTAGTAAACATAATTTACGAAAAGTAACTCGCCAAATTGGCTAGTGATTTGACAGCGTTACCCGCCACAGCTGATTTTTACCCGCATTTGGCGGGTTGGCGGGTGTTAAATTCAAACCCTGATTATAACTATGGGAAATATAATCCATTGTAAGCTAAGTGGCTGCATTGTGTTCATTGTGTGTTATAAATCATCATAATATTAAAAGCTATAACCACAAATAAGTAAATATTATAATGCATTAAAACTGTTGTTATGATTACTCATGGGATAATACAATATATTATAAGTTTTTTTTAATAATACACTATGCATTCATTATAATGCCTTAAGAATACTGTATCAATGTATTATAAATACGGGTTTCATAGAAAGTGTTAGCCACTATTTTTTATTCCACAAGTGCTCTCTCTCAGATTGTGATGTTTGATTTTGAAAATGTTGCACTGATGATAAAAGGCAGTGCAAAACATCTGTTGCTGATACTGTATATGCTATGACATTTTGTGAAAGCCCTATGAATTTGTGTGGCATATAGTGTGGCATTTGCAAATTCAAATCCAGTTTGTGAAAACACATTTATATGGCCAAGTGTAAATGGATTGTTCAAACTCAATCAGATAGCAATCCAATCACAAGAGATAGACCAAGAACAAATACTCCCATAGACTATCAACAATCACTTTATTACTGTTGTGTATTAATTAATGACTTTTATTCATTTGTCCTTCTAGTAAATGATGTGCGAAATGCAGCGTCGTGTACAGCAAGCTATATGCTGTTTGATGCAGACGATCAAGTAATGCAGCAGAACATGGCCTACTACAGATTCCACAGACAACAGTGGGGACTGCAGGACGAGCATTTCGAACCACGACCAGTAAATACACACACACACACACACACACACATACATACACATGCATATCATAACTTACCAAAATGACAAATATGTAGTAAGGGTAATGCTTCTGATGCTCAACAGTTTCCCCATAAAAGTACTGGAGTGGCAGATACATTTTTGTTGTTGTTTCTCTTGGCTACGGAATCAAATCCATGTCACTTAAATGTAAGTACTGTAAGGTATTGTAAAAGAAAAACGGTTAGCACAATGTGCTGAGAAAAAAAAATTCACAAACAAAAACAAAGAATCACAAAATATAAAAAATTTTTAGAAAAAAATAAAGTTATAATTAATTGCAAAAATCAGTGACTGCTGTGAAAGAAGCTTAAGAACTTTGGTCCTTTTTCATCTCTTCAACAGATTTTTAGCAGCAATGATTTTGCCTTTAGCATACCATCTAGCATAGAAAGTACATACTATGCTAAATTTAAATGAATGTTACAGTATGTATGTTGAAATACATCTATTAATTTATCATTTATTACATAGTTTTGCATATTATGTAGTTTATAAGTGTCATAATCAATTGTTCTTTTGCTATACTTTATTGTTTTGCAAATAAACTTGGCAAAAGCAGAAACATCCTCTCACATTCAAATGCTTTTATTTTGTCAATATCAAAAGCAGCAGTCAGTATCTGGTGTGGCCACCAAGTGCTTTTTAGTACAACAGTGCTTCTCATCCTCATGGACTGAACCAGATTTGCTAGTTCTTGCTATGAGATGTTACCCCACTAATCCAGCAAGGCACTTGTAAGTTCTTGAACATGTCTGGGGGAACACATAGATACACATGGTTTGTCACAGCTAGTGGTGCTTGTGGAATTATTATTTATGGTTCATTGAACATTTGTTGCACATCCTCAACAAATCCACACACACATCCTCACGACAGAAACTATTGATAAAGGTATCTCTTCTATGTTTTTACAGGGTTTAACAGATAACTACTTCTAGCCAACAGATAACTCAGCTAGCCATTCTGAAGTGACCTGATAATGGACATTCATTTGAAAATGTTCTGGTTTTGTTCAGGTTGTCTTTTTACACCTACTGTTTTAACATCTCTGTCTTTGTGTCCATACAGGAAGCTCTTACATATTTCAATCAAACTACCAAACTGAGGGAACTTCTGGAGTTCGCACAGAATTATTTACAGACAGATGATGAGGTAAACCTCAAGTGTGTTAAAATGATGTGACATGTGGCCAAGTATGGTGAGCCATACTCGGAATTAGTGCTCTGCATTTAACCCATCCAAAGTGCACACACACAGCAGTGAACACACACACACCGTGAACACACACCCGGTGCAGTGGGCAGCCATTTATGCTGCGGCGCCCGGGGAGCAGTTGGGGGTTCGGTGCCTTGCTCAAGGGCACCTCAGTCGTGGTATTGAAGGTGGGAACTGTACATTCACTCCCCCCCCCTACAATCCCTGCCGGTACGAGACTCGAACCCGCAAGCTTTGGGATAGTCTTTGGGGAGTCTGACTCTCTTACCATTAGGCCACTACTCCCCCACAAGGAGTTGTGGGGGAGAGTTATTTAATAGTACAGTACATTAGCTGAATAAAATAACCCTAAAATAAGTCAACTATATTTCTTGAATGGTAAATGCAGTGGTGTGTGGTGGCCTGTGTACTAAGGAGCCCACTCTCTACTTTATTAATGTGCTTCCGTGCTTTTATGGTTTTACGGTAAAATAATGTGTAAGCATTTACAAAAAACAAAAAGTTAAGGTCTGCGATATAAGTGTACAGTGTGCCCGAAACTCTGTTTTAGATTAACATCTGCTGTTAAAGTGGATTGAACACATAGGAAACCTACTAAGCATAGTCTCCTTCATTTAAAGCAATTAATTGCTTGTTCCTATAAACCCCTGAAGATACTTCCAGTATGGGAGAGAGAGCTCTCCTGGCTGGGCTATAGTCCTAACTGGAATACCGAATACAAAATGTTTCCTACGAGGTAATTGTATCTCATATTCTTCCAAGATTAAGGCCTCTAGGAATAAATTATTTGAGGAGCTAGAAAATAACATACATGATCTAGAATGCCAACAGGCCCGTGCTTTTTCTGACAAGCTCTCGATCTATTGAAACTGGAATACAATTATCTATCTTTGTCTAAAGCTGAGTTCATAATTCGTAGGACAAAGTAAAAAACTATTTTCACGTAGCTATACCTAATAGATGGTTTTTAACAATGTGTTTAAATAATGTAATTCATTATTACATTCATCTGAGGTTTCCCTTGACAGCGAAAAATGTAAAGCTTTTTTTGACGTTTTGGATCTCACTACTCTGCCAATATTTGCTCCTAGAGGCTCCTCTTACACTTAAGGAAATGCATAAATCATTTAAGGCAAATCACCCAGGCCTGATGGTATTCTTCCTAGCCTATGGAGTTCTGCCAAGCTATTTGGGACATTGCGGGGCCCTTAATTATGAACTCCACGAACTATGCCATTGATTATGGTATACTTTGCAGAGACCAAAATGTAGCCCTCATCACTCTGTTGCTTAAAAAGGATAAAGATCCATTAAGTTGCTCAAATTACTGGCCAATTTCTTTGATTTCTAGTGATGCTAAGATCCTAGCCAAAGCATTCGTTTACTGAATAGAACCATACATTGATAGCTTGACCCATTACGATCAGACTGGTTTCCTGCAAAGTCGATTAGCTTCGAACAATATGCACCGGTTGTTACACAATATACCGGTTTTACTCAAATCGTGGATTTTATAGAGAAAGCTAGTAAATGTTCCTTTTAAAATCACTAAAGTTGTCAATTATTTAACTATAATAACTGAAGTTGACTACACAGCAAAATTAATCTATTATTTTTATTGTGTGTGCACTTTGTTTATTATAATGAGATAATGTTTAAATGAGATTAAATGTGAGGATTTTTTATTAATCCATCCGGTCTTTTTAGTTCCATTGTTTCAACTAAATCATAGCCACATTTATTTATTTGTTTCTTGTTTTAGCCTAGTTAAATAATGGGACTGAAATATTGCATAATTCTCATGTTTTAATTTTAAAAATTGCTCAAAAAAATGCTCAATGATTTCTTAATACGTATACAGATACCTTTTCCCCACTTTATGTGCAGGGGTACAGTAGTTATCTGTTAATAAAATAACAGATTGTGTGCATGACATATTGCAGTTATGCAATTTTATTAGCAGTATTAAATGTACATTTTAAACATTTGTATTAGTGACAAATATTAATAAATCCATGTATTGAACAGGCTACCACTTTTAATGTTCCTTCTCTTTGTTTTATGGTAATAACATATAATTTAATGATAATACTGCACACGTGTTAAATGTGTAAATATTTAGAATACGGTGTAGTACTGTGTAGCATAGTGTAAAACATAAGCACACACTCACAGTCTTGACATTTACAACACTGCTTGAATTCGTTGCTAAGTTCATTAGTACTAAATTTGCTTCAGTGAATAGGAATAATTTTAATTATTGTGTTTCTTTGCAACCGTCAAATCTAGCTATGCAAAGTTGACTGCTACTCGTGAAAATCTGCTTTGATATGCTCACCTGTTAACTGGTCAAAAGCTGCAAATGCGTCAGTACCTGTGGCAGTAAAAAGCTCATTTTGAGTGAGTACCATCTGTATAACAAATAGCAAAGTATTTGTGTGATCTGTTGAAATCAATGTGTTTTGAATTAAATATAAATACATTTCAAGTGTTTCTATTTCTGACAAATATGAAATAACATGGATGCAATATTGAGAAAGCATTTTATACTATAATGTTTCCATGCAGAATAATCGTATCATTTTTATTTTATGCCAAGGTGAAAATAACATTGGATTTAATTACATAACTAATAATGCATACCTGGTAAATATATAATAAACTAATATATGGTTCAGTCTACAGAAAAACTTAAGCACATGCTCACATTTCCTATGCTATGCTATACTACACTTAATTTGCATTCAATGTGTCCAGTACATATAAGTACTACGTTTGTGTCTGAGCAGCGTCACGGAAATAAACAAAAAAAAAAAAAAATAGCAGAATCAATTATGGAAACTCAACTAAGTGTCACGGACAAGGTGTAGAGGCAGGCAGGATGACGAGGATTCCAATAAAAGATATTTAATGTAGACACAACAAGGCAGATTCAGGAAGATGAGACACACACACACACACACACGGGGTAACATTCACAGGGCCCGACAATACACGAGACAGGAACTTATGGGGCAGATAACGAGAAGCAGACAGGTGAGCACACTGAGGATAATTAACTAATGATTGAACGGGCTAAACCAACAAAAGGGGAAGAAACCACAACAAACAGTCCACAGGGGTGTTACATTACTCCCCCCTCCCGGAAGGTGCGTCCTCGCACCGTAGAAACAGAGGGAGGGGCAGAGGGAGACAACGCAGAGGATGTGAGATGGTGACAGGGGAAGGCAAAGGGCTGGCAGGCAGAGCAGACAGGTGGAGGTTCCAGCAGAGGATGGACGGCTAACAGAGTCCAGGGAGGTGACGATGGAGGGAGGAGCCAGGGAGACGACAGGAGGGAACCGGAGCAGGAGGAGGAGCCAGGGGGACCCTAGCCACAGCCATATTAGCGGCCCACGGTGGAGCCGACGGAGGGAGGAGCCATGGAGGAGGAATGTCCACCGACTCCAGGGGGCTGACCAACGGCGGCGGAGGAGGAGCCCGAGCCGGAGAGCCAATGAGCCAGGGGGATGCCGAGGATCCGGGGGGCCAGGGTGGAGCCAAGGGCTCTGGTGACCGAGGCGGAGGCAGATATCCAAGGAGCCCAACGGAGCCGGTAGGACAGAGCAATGAGGCGCAGCCAGAGGAGAGGAGTCCAGAGGCGATGGCGGGTCTACGCCCGACCAAGGCGGAGCCGGAGGGACGAGGGAGCCCGGTGGAGCTGATGGATCGATGGGTGACGGTGGAGGCGAGGGAGCTAGGAGCCGAGGTGGAGCCACTGGGTCTACGAACCGAGGCGGAGTCCAGGCTTCGGAGGCTGGAGGCGGAGGTGAGGGAGACTCCGACCATGGTGGGACTGGGGATCAGGAGCCCTTCCTGGGCTGGACTGGGGATCAGGAGCCCTTCCTGGGCTGGACTGGGGATCAGGAGCCCTTCCTGGGCTGGACTGGGGATCAGGAGCCCTTCCTGGGCTGGACTGGGGATCAGGAGCCCTTCCTGGGCTGGACTGGGTATTCCGTGGTCGCTCCTCCTCATTTTGGCACTGAATTCCCTCCATAGTCCGCTCACCCTCAGCCATGATGCAGGGGGCAGAGCTACTCTCCGCGCTCACACCATCCACGGCTTGCTCCCTCGTGGTGGGCACTGTCGCCGGCTCTCACACCTGGTCTGATGTGTTGGGCTCAACCTCCGAGGCAATCCTCTTCTTAGCCGCCGGGCTTCGCTCTGGCTCCTGGATCGCGGCGGGAAATGGCTCTCCGTCATCGGTGGGCTCAGGCTTATGCTCCGTATCGTGGGGAGATGGTGTGCTGGGCTCAGGGTCCTGAGTGGGGCTGGTGTCGTCATCAGCGATGCCCACGGTTAGCTGGGACTTGCAGGACACCAGCACACACTCGACGAAGGTGGTGAAGCTCTCTGAAGGTACAGAGGCAGTTGTCCGGGTAGTGCGTGAGGTGGGCCAGGGACAGAAAGTCGTTTGTGTGGTCCTCAAGAGAGCGTTCCCCCTGGTCCAGCAGGAGGATTTCGAAGGCAGGGTAATCCATAGAAAAACAAAAATAAACACTGGCAAAAACTGGAAAAAACAAACAAGGGGAAAGACGCCGCTATACTTTAGGGTCGGTTATTCTGTCAAGGAGAAGGTGTGGAGGCAGGCAGGATGACGAGGACGACAAGGATTCCAATAAAGATATTTAATGTAGACACAACAAGGCAGATTCAGGAAGATCACGCACGCACACACGAGGTAACATTCACAATAACCGACAATACTAGAATACACGAGACAGGAACTTATAGGGCAGATAACGAGGGGCAGACAGGTGAGCACACTGAGGATAATTAACTAATGATTGAACGGGCTAAACCAACAAAAGGGGAAGAAACCACAACAAACAGTCCACAGGGGTGTTACACTAAGAAGACAATTCAGATTCTGCTGTAAAGAAGCTCTAAAAGACAAT